GAATGTGATTAGGTCATGAGGGTGGAGCCCCCATGACTGAGATTGGTGCCCTTACAAGAAGAGGCCAAAGAGCCAGCTTGCTCGCTCTCTCTGCCATGTGAGGATACAACGAGAAGACTGCAATCTGCAACCCAGAAGGGAGACCTACCAGAACCTGACCATTCTTGCACCCTCATCTTGGGACTTTCAACCTCCAGAATTGTGGGAAGTAAGTTTCTATCGTTTATAAGCCACCCAGTCTATGAGACTTTGTTATAGCAGCCCAACCTAAGACAGCACCCAAAAAAGAAAACTTATAATTGCATTTTCCAAAGTGCATTCATCCTTGTTAATAGAAGTTCCATATCAGAAAGGGTTCTGTAAAGAACTGAATGCTAGGATAGCCAAGGTAAGCAGGTTTCTTTATTACAGGACTTCTTAGAGCCTTTAATAAATTAATGTGCATTTTAAATTTCCAAGAGAGGAAAGGAATAGGAAGAATTTTCAAACATATTTGATCACAGGTTTTTTGCATCTCACACTGCCATCCATAATAAGCACTTTGACTGCCCCATCAAATAGCTATTCCCCAACCCCTGCCCTTTCTTTCTTTCTAACAGCCCGAGAGGATGAATCATGATCAATTCTATGGTGATCCTGGCAATCTTGTCCCTTTGCTAAGGACTCACTTTCCTGATGTCCCTTCCAGCTAAGGGTGACCATGACTACGTGACCCAGTGCTTGCCCGTGGGCCACAGGAAAAGTCAGCTTGGAGGATCTGGGTCATTTTCTTCTTTGATAAAAGGATTTTTGGACTTTTCTAGCTGCTCTCTTTCTTACTGTTTGCGATGCTGTTGCAGGGTGACGCCAATGGAGCTGTGATTCTGTGCTGGCTTCAAAACACAGACATGAATTTTTTACTGCTCCTCCCACCGAGAGATGGGATCTATGCACTGCTCTCTTCAATCTGGCAGGCTTGTGGCTGCTTTGATAACAAAGCACAGGAGAAGTGATGTGCTACGTGACTTCCACAGCTGGAATACTTGCCTGGCAGCACTGAGACCCCAGAGAACAAGTCCGGTGGCCCTGAGTGGGCCACGCTGTGAGAAACCCAAGCCACGGAAAGAGGCCAAGCAGAGATGCTCCAGTCGACAGTCTCTGCTGAGCCTTTCCTTTGAGTCACCCCCATCCAGGTATCAGACGTTAGAATGAAGAAGTCTCTATAAGCTTCTAACCTTGGTGTGTTCTGGTCTTCCCCATAAAGGCCGCAGAAATCATGAGGCAGAGATAATCCATCCCACTGTGCCCTGTCCAGATTTCTAATCCACAGAATTTGCCAGCATAACAAAATGGCTATTTCATACCACTAAATGCGGCAGCGATTTGTTATACAGCAATACAGAATCAGAGCAGACTCTCTCTCGCAATCTCAAGGGAAAAGCCAAGAGGATCACGAAGGTGCTAATCTAGAACCCAACACCTTTAAACTACTGCATCATCCCTGACTCCGAATTTCTTCATATGTGGAATAATTGTATGTCTTTACTGCTGAAGCCACAGTTAGTCAAAAGCATCCCTAAATGATACACCATGCTGCCGCTCAGTGTCACAGATTCAGGTCAAAGCTCTCGTCCTTTTTTCCATGGCTTCCATCAGCCAACTTGCTTGTCTTTCCATTTCTGGTCTCTCCCACCCTCCACAAACTGCAATCAGAATGACTTTACTACAACACACTCGGACCGCATCACTTCCTTAAAACCTTCCAAGGCTCCGCATCACTTCGCAGTGGTTCATAACCACAGTAGGCGACAGAATTATCTGGAAGAACTTTCTCCCAATCAGAAAGTCTGAGTCATTCCAGTCCCTGTGAATCAGGCATGTGTATGTGCAAGAAGCTCCCCAGGCAATTCTGATGGCAAGACTAGCTAAGAACCACACCTTCCTCTCTCCCTCCAGGCAAAACTTAATGTATTAAATACCTTGTTGACATTTCTATTATCATATGATAACTTTTTAGAAATTTCTATCACCCTCACTGGATAGGGACACACCAGAGGGCAAGGATCCTGTCACACAGAGTGTTGTATGCCCAGCACCTAACACAACTATCTGGAACACAGTAAGGACTCATGTATTTTGATGAATGAATAAATCAACATAGAACAATAAACCCCTAATATTTCTGCCTCCGAAGGCAGGTCCATTTCCTCTGAAACTTTGCTCTCTCTGCCAACTGAGCAATCAGACCAAGGAAAATACAGACAACTGCAAATTAGACAAAAATATGGGGTTTATCATTTACCAGGCTCTGGCTTGATCAGCCAAGATGGCCTGAAAACCCAAGAGCCAATCCTTTTCCCTAACAACCAAGAAGCTGGAGAAGCCATTCAAATGTTACAGGATGAATCACATTCTGAAAATGTCCTGGTCCTGTGACTTCATCTGCACCTTGCAAATGCCTCTGTGACCAAGCTATGATTCACACTACTGGTTCTCAGCAAATAACCAACAGTGACCTCCTGGAACAAGTTCAAAAGCAAGTTTTATCGTAAGTGCTCAGCATGTTCCGTAGTCACAGAAGGAGGGATACCCCTCATTTCCCCAAATCCCTATTATCTGAAAGGAACTTTTTCCCAATTTCAAGGATATTTCCAGACCACATTCTATAAAATAAATGTCGTGGTCTATACTTATTCACAAGTACATTGGGGACAAAATGGTGATGAGAACTAAAATTTACGAAATACATACTCACTGGATGTCAGGCACTGTGCTAGGTGTATACTCTCTCTCTCATTTTATATCCATAATAACCAGCAGGTAATATTCTTGTTTTAGAGGAAACTGGGGTTAGAATAGCTAACTTTTCAAAGTTGTGCCACTGGTAATGGGGAAGGCTGAGATTCAGACCGGCGTCTATGGGGCCAGAGCCTGCATGAACCGTTCCCTCACGCTCCTGCCCCACTACCCCCAGGCCTGATCTCCATCAGATTCGAGAAAGGAGGACAGTAACTCTGCCTAACTCCATGCTAAAGCACTTCCTGAGTGTGAGCTCCTCTAATCTCCAACGAATCTGTGAGGTGATTCTTTTTCTCCCCATTTCACAGATCAACCCACTCAGACTTGGAAAGGTTAAGGAATGTGACTGAGATCACACAAGTAATAGCAGATACAGAATTTAATTTCAAAGACAATGCTCTGTCCACCTCCCCATGCTGTCCCCTTCTCCATTCTAAATATGAGAGGGTGTCATGGGTCTTTTTCCTAAATGACAGAAAAGCATTTAACAAAGAGAAGGCAATAAACAAGGCAGCCCTGAAGGTCTTGTGTTAAGTCTTCAAAGGGCCTCTTCAAAAATAGCTATCACCCATCCAGTCCTTTTCTGTCTAGATAGTACTTTCCAGATGTGTGATCTCATGTGATCCTCACGGCAGCCTGGAAAGGTAAGTGCTAACATTGCCAATTTCCAGAGCAGGAAATTAAAGCTCAGACAGGTTAAGTCACTTGATCAAGGTCACACTACTAAGAAATGCTTGAGTGTAGACTCAAACCATGTTTGGGAGGCCAAAGCCCACCATCCTTCCACCCAACAAGGAATCCTGCCTCTCGGAGACCTTCTCACTGGTTCAGGAGAAGAGGGAGAACAGTTATTGAAGAAGATTCCTTATCTTAGGGAAGAAGTTCTTTGTATCTGGTTCTCCAAGGCAAGAATGTAGGGACAAGCCACAGTAACTTCAAACATCTCAAATCCACCCCCACCATGGAACGGAAGGACATTTTCCTTCCACAATGCACAACTGAAATAACACTGGACTCACAAAGTCCAAGTGCTGTTTGATCTCACTATGACTCCTCGACCAAAGGACAGTCCCACCTACAAGGAGGGTGGGGATCTGTGGAGAATTTACAGTCAACTTCCCAATCAGGCCAGCACATGCTCGAGTTGGCTCTTGAACCCGTTTATTACTCTAACAGGTAAACGGGCATGAACCGTCAAGCCTCACTCCACTCCATTTAGAGAGGAACCGGAGGGTTACTTTTCCAAGTCCGCAAACCAGAGGACAAGAAGCACCTACATTCTCCCTGTAAAAAGAATATGGTGCCTCTTGTTCTCTTTCCAGGGAAATAAAAAAACATAGTAAGGTGGCAGAAACTTCAACAATAGTGAGCTTCTTGGTTTTTTGAAGTATCATTCATTGAGCGCGTATATGCCAGATGCTACATTGCACGCTTTACAAACACAAACATTACCCCGTTTAATCCTTATAATAACCCTATGGGGGAAAATCCTATCAACCCAAGTTGCAGATAAGGAAAGCAAGGCTCAGCATACTACATTCAGAAAGTCAAAAGGTTGTCAGAAGCAGGGCTGAGACGTGACCCCAAGTTCACCTGGTCCCACAGCCTGTGTTTCTGCCAGGACACTCCTCCACAAGCTTCCCACCACTCCCTAACTACCATAGCGCCGTCCCAACAAGGACCTTTAGGAGCAGAGTGCGTGAATCTACAGACATGGGTGACCCATTTTTGCCCCTACTGAACCTTATAAAAGTAAAGTGGTGGTTTCTCTATTCCTCAGTTGTCACTAGAATTAAGTCAAAGGGACTATAAAAATTTTTGGAAACAACAAATTTGATCTATTTGAATCACAGGCCTAAAGATGCAATTTTATTTTATACTTATAGCTATGACCCTGTGGTTGATTCTGTATTTAAATTAAGAGCTTTAGGCAAGAGAGAATATCACTAAAATGTTGCCACGTAGCATAAGACTTTAAAAACATCCCTTCAATTACATATAATTGACCCTCTGCTGACTTTCTTAATAAAATTAAAAATTCAGACCCTCCAAGTAAGCAATGAAAAGAGAAACTCCTTGTAACTTTCTTCATCCAGCCATCCCACCCCAGCAAAAGACTGTGGCATTCCTCTGCTACCTTGAAAGATCTGAGGTTTTTTATTCTAACTAAGAAAGCTCTTTCCTTATGTACATTCAGAAAAAGATGCAAGAAGGTTGCCTACCTCAGAGAAGAACTCGTCCATAAAAGCCGTGTTGTCAATAGCGATCTCAACCTCATCAGCATCATCATCCTGTGTGAGCTGCTTCTGCAAGAGACAAAAAGGAACTAGCTGAGTGTGAATAAAAACACAATAGCTAACATTACTGAAATGCTCACTAAGTACCAGGAGCTATATTAAGTATTTTATACATAATTTCCTTTAAAACTCATAACAGCACTATGATATATCAAACCCTGGTGTGGCAATGTCTGAAATTAAGTCCCAGTTCTACCTCTTACTGACTTTTTGCAAGGGCTGAGGGAGGAGGAGGGGAGGGACAAGCAAGTTACTAATCTTGCTGTGCCTAGGTCTTCTTATCTGTTAAATGCTGACAATAACACTATGTATTTTATAGGGTTGTTTAAGGAATAAATGAGCTAATGAATACAAAACACTTTTGCACAGTGCCTGGTACACTGTAAGTACTCAACAAATGCTAGGTTTTGTTGCTGGTGGTGGTGGTGGCGATGGTGGTAGTGGTGTCATTACTATAGCTCACTCCATTGAGGAACCTAAAACTTCAGGAAGTGAAGTAACATGGTGAAAATCACACAGCTAAAATGTGGAGATAGGCAGTTTCTAACCCATCTTTTGGATCTGAACCCCATGTTCCTAATCCCTTGTCCACACTGTTCGTTCAAATAGGTTCTAGACACAATTCCTCCGAAGCACAAGCTTCAAATCCTCACAGTAGGAGTAAAGATCTTCCTGTTTTCAGAAACCACCTGTTACAAAGGAAACAGTATTGTGTTGTCCCTGTCAGAGAGCTCCTGTTTATAAGGAAGAGGAAGGTCTCCCCCACCCCCAGCAACCTCTTGGGGACCCACGCTTTCTCAATCTCATCCAACTTCCTCTGCAAAATCACAATGTGAATATCAAAAGGAAGTGATTCCATTCCCACCCAGCATCAAGGGCCAAAGCTATTTCTATATTCTTCCTGAATGTTCTTCCCTGACTACTGCTGTACTACTCACTGCCAGTTTCTAAGCACAGAGAGAGAACTGGTTACGGAGAATAGAGGTAGGACAGAGAATAAACGCTCTACACCTGCTTCTTCACAACCTTCAGTGGCCTCCAGCCTTCTAGGCCAAAGATATGTCACTGTCAAGCACTTGAAACCCCATGAGCAATGAAAGCACCAGGGGCCTCGCTCCTCACCCACTACCAGCCCCTGAATCCGCAGCAGAAGGAGTTACTGGGAATGCCCATGGATATTGGGGTTCTCCAGCCATCTGGGAAGTCTCTTCACTGACTCCCTCGGTACCTCATTCTCTGGCTGGTTCTGGAACAATCAGCGTCCCCAGCATAACAGCCATATTCAAGAAAGCTGAATTTGACGACACTGCTACCACCTCCATGACTATTTTCCCAAAACTGGGGATATGTCCCTCTGCCACCTGAAGTCACTCAATGACAGTCCAACTCCTAGAATTTAAAGTCCTGATGCCTAACAGAGCACATGGGGCCCTTTAAGATCCAGCTCCACTCACACTTCCTCCTCTATGATACACTCTCTAGACCAAGCTAGCATTTGGAAATCCTTGCATTTCCTCGACACACCATTCTTTCTTATCACTGTGCTGTCACACAAGGGCTTCCTTCTGAAATGCATGTGTCCAACTGGTGAAATTTTACTTAGCTTTTAAAACTCGGATCAGACAACCTCTGCATATCTTATCTGACACATGCCTCCCCCATGCAAAAATTAAAACCTCCCTAAGCTCCTCCCACACTTTGTAGAAACCTTCCATAGCAACTATCACAGCCTACTATTATTTATCCCGTTGCTTACCTATCTTTCCCCACTGACTATAAACTCCTGGAGATTCAGGGTTGCCTTATGTATCCATTAGAGCAGATAATATGCGTGTGTGTGTGCACATGCGCACATGCCCAAAACACCTCCCTTTGCAGAGATACCCTTCACTGTCCCCACATGATTCTGGGGAGGCTGTCTTGACCCAAGCTGCCTAAGGAATCTGAACTGTGGCAGGAGTTTGGAGGGAATGGAGCCAGGTCAACCAACGGCAGCACCCAACAGAGATGTCCGTGAAATTCCCAGAGCTGCCCTGGCTCCTGTCCTCCCCAAGCCACCCCTTGGCTTTGAGCAGGATGTACAGATCTTCGCCAGTCCTCTTCCAATGATCTGAGCAGTATCCTTCTACTACGTTTCTTCGGATCATTTAGCCAGATGAAGCTTTTGTTACTTGCTATCAAAACTGAGTGCTGTACTTGTCATTAATTCATTTATTCCACATGTCTACTTACCGAGTACTTACCACATAGCAGGCACATAACAGAAATTTAACCAATTTTAGCTGAATAAATAACTAGCTTCCACAGAGACCAGCAGCCTGGATTTACCTGCCAGTTTCTAAAGTTTGAGATAAAATGTTCCCTTCAACAAGTACCATCAACACTCAGGCCCCTCAGCAGCCTCCACAGAGTTCCCGCTCCCAAGAAGATCTCCGTAACCCTTACTAGAAAGCAGGAACCCAGTCTTCCTTTAGGAAGGCGAGTTAATAAGCTTTTGTTGAGAGTGTCCTTTCTTCAGAGGTCATATGGAGACCCACGCTGAAGGAAGAGACCCCAAGTATGTGCATATACACAAATACAACCCACACACATACACACCCCCCACACACATACACCCACACATATGCCTATACACACCCATATCCACATACACCCCACACACACACCCCACACACACATACACCCCACACACATACACCCACACAACACATACACCCACACACATACACCCCACACACATACACCCACACAACACATACACCCACACACATACCTATACACACCCATATCCACATACACCCCACACACATACACCCCACATACACATACACCCACACACATACCTATACACACCCATATCCACATATACCCCACACACACACACCCCACACATATCCACATACACCCAGACACACATACCTACACACACCCATATACACATACACCCCCCATACACACACCCCATACATATATACACCCCACACACATACACCCACACACATATACCCACACCCACACACATACACCCACACACACCTATACACACCCATATCCACATACACCCCATACACATACACCCCACATACACATACACCCACACACATACCTATACACACCCATATCCACATACACCCCACACACACACCCCACACACACAAGACATCAATTCGGTCTTCAAACAAGCACACATGCTAAGGAAGTGGGAAGAGGCTACCATCACAGAATGGATTAAAGAAGTTTCTGGAGACTGGGAACACCTGTGTCCTGAAGCATGGGAGGCAGGCACCTAGCTGTCCATCAGGATGTAAGTTCTTGGGACCCCTAGAATGTGCACATCTCTTGGCCTTCAGCAGGCTCTAGCCAGGCAGCCTGGTCCCCCTTCTGTGAGAAGTGTGACTGTAAAGAGAAAACTAGGTCCAAAATCCGTTGCTACCAATCACTGGCTGTGAGAGCTTAATCAAGCCCGCACCTCTCTGAGATCTTATCTGTAAATAGTAACACCACCACACGCCTTATGGCGTCTATGAGGATTGCGAGAGATCACACATGGAAAGCCTCTAGCGCAATACCAGGCACACACCAGTGCCTAATAGTCAGTTTCCCCATCACCTGCTGCAAACAGGTGGGTCTAGAAGAACAGAATCCCCTGTGAGTCACCATTGTCTCCCTCCTCTTCTTCCTCCTCAGGAAGCTCTCACACCAAAGGCTAAGTAGTAAGATGGGTTCCACAGCATCATGCCGGTCAGGGTTCTATACCCGATCCACCCCATGCTATCACCGAGCCTTAAACAGACGGTGTAACCCCTCTGAGCCTCACTTTCCTCATCTGAAAAACAGGAATAAGAGTGTGTTGCTTGACCTCCCTTCCCCCACCCCCACGGCCACGGGGGGCGGGGGGGGAAGTATACTGCTGAACCTTGCTGGAGCAGCAGGCCCTGTACCACTGCATCAGCCTCCTCCCCAGTCCCTACCTCCCTTATCTCTCTGCTCCAATCCCATGACATCCCTGTTTCCCGATACGTGATGGTTCCCTACAACCTACTGTATAAAAGTCCTCAGCCTGTCTGTCACGATCCTGTGGGAGCTGGCCACGCTCACGCATTTAGCCATAGGTCCACTGTTCTCCGCCAGGCATCTCCTGCTCTGTCAACCTATTCCCCTTGTCTTCTGCACACACCCCTTCATTCTTGCACTGGGGCTTTCTATTAGCACTATGTCCCTTTGTTCTCTACCACCGCCGATATACATATAACTAACACGTCTCCCACCCTCCTCCACTTTCCAAACTCAACCCTTAAGGCCCAGTGCAGGTCCCATTTTCCCCACAAAACTTGCCCCGGTTCATATTTATCAAAGTTTCATGAGTTGCAATCTCAACTTCCGAGGTCAATTTTAAGGAACCTGAGGTCAGAAATAGCATCTCATAAGTCTTGGTAGCTCCAAGGTACTTGGCACAGAGCTGGGCACATAAAAAGTAAGTTGGTGTCAACTGACTGAATCTGCCTGTCACAAGCAGTGTGGCTGCATGCCTACCGGCACTGCCAAAATTTACTCCCGGTTTTACAAAATCCATCCCCACTTCCCTGCCTCCTTCCTCTATCAAAAATACATATTGTCTGCCAGGGCTGACAATATTAAATAAGGTAATGTTTTAAGGTTCTTTATGCAATGTACAGCACATAGTAAAAACTAAATAAAGTAACCATATGTAAGAGTTAGCCAAGTCAACTTCTCTGTAGCTTTAACCTGGATATAAGTATCTTTAAGGAGGCAAGGGAAGAAAAAAGATATGACTTTTAGTTAGGGCTGAATGCAACCTCAACTATTTTACCGTCAAATCCCCTCACTTACAGATGGGGAGACCAAGGCCCAAGACCAAATAATGAGTTACTGACAGGGACAGAAGAGAACCCGGGTTTCTACATTTCCTTCTTCCCATGCAGTTTTTCCCACTGTAGCATGCTGCTTTCCAAAAATATAAAATAACAATAACAAAGCTCAGCACAGAT